GCAGCCTAGAGGGGGGAACAGGTACCATCGTCTTCAGCTTCTTGGGGTCAACTTTGGACGGGACATCTTCCTCCTCGTCCGAGTCCTGGAGACCATATTTGGAGAAATGGGCCACCTGAGAGAGAGGCAGGAGTCAGTTACACCTGAGATTGTCACGACAGCGATGCACACAGACAGCGTCACAGCACAGAGCCTGTGGTGACGCAGCTGCTGGCGTTTTCACGATGTTTCTGCAAGCCCACTCACTTCTGAGCAACCGAGGCCTGACGAGAACCTAATTATGCTGTGCTGGTCTGGCTCTAATGTTATGGCCTCTGTGATAATGTTGTGAATGAAACCGGGATGAAAATTATTCACTGACCTATTTTTTACAAAAAAAATTTTTTTAATAAAAAGCAACAGTTGAAAAACAAGATCTATGATGAAACTTTTAGATTATTGTCAACATATAAAAACTAAACAACAATGTAACAGAAGGGACATGAAGCACTGACTGCCTTAATGCAAAGTCTTACTCAGTGACCTGCATCATGTGTGGACTCTGCAGCTCCTGATCAGTGAAACCAAACCTCTCCTGTTCAGACGCCGATTTAGCTGCTGGCCTAAGGAGTATCTCACACTCGGTAATGTGACGTTTACATGTCACCTGACATTTATGAACTAAACTTATCAATGGTCCACTGAGATTTAGACAAGACAATAAAACCAGCTGAAACAAACGAGGAAAAGGCAGCAGCAGCCGACATTTATGTACAGGTCCGATCACTGAACAGGAAGTGCTGTGGATGTGGCCTAAATGTTACTGTTGGTCAGATACCAACAGAATGAACGTAGGCAGTCGACCATCTAAAAAAATCTCACTGTGTTAATGTTCGCCCACACGTCAGCTTCTCTCAAAGTATGCACTCAGCGTCCAGACTTCATTTAGTCTTTGCCCATATTCACCCCAGAGGCAGCACAGCCTCAAAATGTTTATAAGATAAAAATTTAAAATGTAGGGCAAACTGAGACTAAAACGTTCCTGAAGAAAAACAGATTGTGCCTGAATAGTGAAATTTTTTTTTTTTTTTTTTTTACTAAACCCAACACAATTTCTTTAGATGACTAACATTAAATCACAGTCCTTCAGTGTTCAGGTTTACTCATGTCAGTCAAACAAAATGTAGCTCAAGAAAAACCTAAACTTAAATTTGGATGCTTAAAAACAACAAACAAAGAAACAAAAAAAAAAAAAAACACCTGGGGTTTATGTATCTAAAACCTGGGTGAGCAGCAGTAACTGACCTCGAACACCCAGGACCCGGTCTCAGGTCTGTACTCCAGGAAACGAGCGCCCTGTTTGCGTGAAGCTTTCTCCAGCCGACCCTCGTAGTTCATGTCAGCCAGGCGCTCCGGGCTCCTGATCTGAGTGCAGGTTGTCTTGTCATTAGGCCAAACTCCGTCAAGAGTTACCTCTGCCCGCCTACGAGCACACACAGACAGGAAGTGCATTACCAACATGTAATGACCGGTTCAGACTACACGATTTAAGCCCGATAACAGCCCTTTAAAATGGTCACAGGGTGTCAGAACTGACAAACAACTTCGGACATGACAATCAATCATTTTATCTCATACTGTGTCAAAGTAAATGACAGCCGATGTTCCGACACAAAGTCTAGAATGTCAGAATTCCTTCAGCGTCTACGACTCAGTGTTGCCCACCACGCTACAGGAGCATAGCTCACTCTTCTGTTTACATCATTTTGGCATATTGGACTGAACATGTTCATTAACTATCGCAGTGATACCGCAAACGTTAGCATGTTGACTTTCACAGCCGGCCTTGTGAAGTAGCTACTCTATCTGGGCTAGCTGGTGTTTGGTTTTATTACCGGCTTAAAACACCTACTTTTAACTGCTACTTCAAGTTCTCTGTGAAGGACAGACAACACAAGCTGCTGCCCTCTTCGTGCAACCCTCAGACAGGTCCACAGGCTTTTTAACCCATGGCTTTGTGCTTTTCCGAACACCAGCAGCCAGCAATCACATACATTCTTCTCCCGGTCTCTGGCACCTCCCAGTCATGAACAACATCAGGCTGTGATCTGTCAGGTACCAACGCATAGTCTGTCGTATCCCTGGTCCAAGAATTTATGGCTCTATAACCGTGTAATCTGACATAGTGACCATCGCACCAGACAAAAAAAAAAAAAAAAAGGTGTAGTCTGAACCAGACATAACTGGGCAGTTTAAGGCAACTTCTTAGTGACTAGGGAACCATCATGCTCCTGACTTCACTTGGTCTCCTGTCACTCACCTGTTAAGCCCCTCCCCCTTTGGCGGCTTTTTTTTGTCGTCCGGGTACACGATGACCTCTTTTCGTCTGAGGTGGACAATCTCATCAAGGTTTAATCCTCTCACGTTCACCTCACCAGGGAAGTAGACTGAGCCGTAGCCTGTGAGGGCCAATCGGAGCACAGTGGTGACACTTCTGTCCAATCAGGGCCCACATGCACAATGGGCCATGACACAAAAAGCAACTGAGGCTTACACTGAGAACACGCGGCAGGTAACCTAACACTTCACTACCTAACATGTTTGTGAGACTGGGTAAAAAGCTGCAGTGTAAAAATCAATAAAGTTTGGCGTCAGAAATGTTCACGTTACCTTTCCTGCCAACAGTGAAGTTTTCCACCCAACACTGTCCATTTTCATCCACCATCTCAGTCAGATCTTCCATGGACGGGATGGTGTAGTAACCAACACGGTTCAGGACGATGCCTGAAACACAGAAGATGGGAAGAGGTGCATTTATTGTGCAGCAAGTCTTCTCAAAGCCAAATCTCATTCCAGACCAAAAATAAGGTTATAACTGCTGTGTGTGGTCCTGGCTCCGTTTACGCCCTGTGCTCCTGCTCAGCCTTTATTTGGACTCTGCCTAGCGCTTGCAATCAGTATCACCTCCTAAAGCCTCTCACGGGACAGAAAAGCAACTGATGGTTGTAAAACGGCAATAACAAAGATGCGTGTTCAAATTAGTTCTACAAAGAAACTTGTTTCAATGTACAGGTGAAATTCTAAATCTGAAAATCAGATGTGCCTGATTCACTGCCAGTGCGATGATAAAGTCTGGGCAGTGTCTGTTGTTCCACTGTTTAGCAGAGCAGCATGACCTCCTGCACTGTATTTTAAGGGTTTAATAGTCTAGCAACATGCTGCGGTTTGTGATACTGACATTTAAATAGTCATTACATGTGAATGTAAGAGTAAATCTATGTTAACACAACTTATCGGCTGAACCACACTATCCAAAATGTTAGAATGGCAACATTTGTCTGGGTCTTCGATATATCCACAATGCTCTGATTTGTAAAAGAGAAACACAAAGCCTAGACTGTGCAGGTTTTGCCCGACCAGAGAGAACGATAAAGTATAACAATTCCAGTCACTCCTGTGAACTGTGTTAAGAACGTGACAGGTCGACCAGGATCCCACAGATGTTGGAAGGGTCTCTATCTGACCTGCTGGGTGGGGAGCCCGTTGGGCCTCCTGCTGCTCCTCCTCTCTCTCCTCCTGCAGGGACTCCTCGCCCAGAGACGCCGACACATCATCGCTGCTCAGCTGAGGAAAAATCGTTAAAGTAAAAATGAGTTGCCTGTACATTACTGACCTCACTAAACATTACACTGATACTCTCTGCATTATTCAGCCCAATTATTCAAACATCAGATTTATCTGAATCCAGCTTGTTCATCTACATGGACACAATCAGACCTGCTGGACCTTTCCTGTGATTAAGTCTCATGTCTGTTGATGTGCAAAAACTGGACACGTGTCATCCACATGTTTTCCAAACCAATGATACAGACTCATCTCTAGAGTTGTTTTTGGCGGCCTGTTTAATTTTAGTTTTAGTCTAGTCTTTGTGTGAAGCTGTCATTTTAGTTATTAGTTTTAGTCACGTTCATACTCTTTTTAGTCTAGTTTTAGACAATGAAAATTGTATTTTAGTCTCTTTTTAGTAATGCAATTATATTTAACCCAGTCAATATAGTATAAGTACCTAGTAGTATAGACGAAACCAAAATTTTCTTTTAGCCAAACCCATTTCAAACAAGGTTATCTTATTATATTATTGTTACCTTATAGACTCAAGAATACATCCAATACGCATTTTGTGGCCACATTTCTCCCCATCTTTTTCCACAACACATTGTTTTCTTTTCCACTTCTATGTAATGAAAGTTCTTCCAAATCTCATTTCTTCTTTTTCTCACAATGACGAACCCCGGCTGGCCGGCCATCGGTCCCTTTCTCTGTGTCAGACTTAACTTTGTTTGTCGTTGTCTCCTAAATAATGCCGCGAGTGGGGGCTTAAGGAAGTGACGTCACCTGCGTCTGCGCAGTGTGACCTGATGTGGCCCCTGAAGCGAGACACAGGAAACAGAAATACTACAAAATAATAACGCAACTGAACGAGACAAAATAACATAACATTTCGTTTCGTTTCGATCTGGTCAACAAAAATGAAGACATTTTGGCATAGTTTTTATTTTGTGAACCACATTTAGTCTAGTTTTTTTTCCATCAACAACATTGCATTATACATTTAGTTATGTCATCGTCACACGACCAGCATTTTCGTTGTGTCTCGTCTTCGTCACGCAATAAGGGTTCGTTGACGACGATATTTAGTCATAATTTTCGTTGACGAAAGCAACGCTACTCATCTCTGTGTTTGTATCAAAGTATTTAATTCTCCCATCACATGATGAAAAGGTTCAGAGTCGTGGCTTCTGACCTCAAGGCCGTTCCTGGCCGGTTTATGCATGTTGAGGTCACTGATGGTGTCCTGCAGGGTGTTTTGGGGGCGGCCTTGCGGGACTGGCTTGGCGATTGGGTTGACATAGAACTGGGTGACCTCGGGGTCATCGTCTGTCCGGCTGCTGGGGCCCGCCAGCTCCCTCAGCTCCTCCTCCTCCTCCACATGGCTGCAGTCAGGAGAAGAGACTGAGTCAGGTCAACAGGTAACATAAGAATGATTTAATGGGAAAGTTACTGTTCAATTCCAGGGTAAACTGTTGTAGTCTGTGCTGCTGATGAATCAGACATCTTAAGACAGCTTCAAAATCTCAGACTGGACACTATTTGGGACTTCACTAACTGTTCATCCTGTAAAATGCAGGAAGATGAAATTGTCACGAGACAGAATACCAGCAACGCTGCACGTTTCAAGTTACAGGCTGTCACGTAGCTGGATGGCCCTTTGGTACCAGATGCTAAATGAAACATAGCAGCTACATGTGTTGAGCCATCAGTTTAGTGTAATATACGACAGAGTCTGAGGCTGCAACAGAAACATGTACACAGCTCGACATGATTACACAACTGTGTCACTGTGTGTGTACTGAGACCTGTGTCCGTTCTGTGGATACTCTGATGGTGAAGCCAGGTCGTCTGTCTCTTTGTTGACTGGACTGCTGTACTGACTGCTGTTCAGGTTCTTCAGCACAAGCTTCTTGATGCTCTTTCTGTGGACGAAACAAAGAGACTTACACTGACCACTACAGAAAAGGTACTTCTTCAGGGTGTGGTTTCTCCTGTGACACCATCTTGTTGTAAATCGGTTCTGTAGGATTTAACTTAATCCAACAGTTTCTTGGTGACAGCACAGGTACAGTTGGCTGATGCATACCTGGGTATAAAGGCTCCATTGGTGAGTGAGGGCTCATCGTCATCCAGGCCGTCGAAGAGCTGCGACTTGGAAGAGCCAGATGACGTCAGGGCTTTGGGGCGGACTCTGGTCGCAGGTCGAGGGGTCAGCTTGTAGTGGGTGGGTGTGGTCAGAGCCTTCTGGGCTGTCGGATTGGTTGGTTTTAAACGCTGTCAGAACATGGGAGAATTTGTTAGTGGTTGCACAAAAAGCACAGATGTTTAAAAACCCTATTACTGTAAGGAGGTACAAAGTCCAGCAACACTTGTAGTATAGAGCAGTGGTCCCCAACCCCCGGGCCGCGGACCGGTACGTGGATCAATTGGTACCGGGCCGCACAAGAAATCATTAATTATTTCCGTTTTATTTATTATCTGAGTCTGATCGATCTTTTATTTTGAAAAATGACCGTATGCTCTCGGTTACATCTCGGTCACTTGAGCGCCAAAACTGGCTTACTTGTGGATATATTCAGCCTGCTCAATGAACTCAATCTGTCACTTCAGGGGAAAATGACAACTGTCTTCAAGTTGGCAGATAAAGTAGCTGCATTTAAAGCCAAACTGGATTTGTGGGGACGGCGCGTCAACAGCGGCATTTTGGACATGTTTCAAACATTAGCGGGGATTTTGGGTGAGACTGAGCCTGAGCCTTCATTCTCCCAGCTGGTGCACGATCACCTGTCTTTGCTTTTAAAGGAGTTCGAGCGCTACTTCCCAACCACAAAGGACCCACGAACTGCCAAGGAATGGATCCGCAACCCATTTGTCAACAAACCAGGTGAATCCAGCAGGTCTGTGCAAGAAGAAGATCAACTGCTGGAGATCGCAAATGACGGCGGCCTTAAAAGTATGTTCGAGACAACAACTCTGTCGGTGTTCTGGATTAAAGTCATGACAGAATACCCTGAGATCGCCACCACAGCACTGAAAACCCTGTTGCCATTTCCGACATCCTATCTGTGTGATCTGTGTGGTTTTTCTGCAGTGACAGCAACCAAAACAAAACAACGGAGTAGACTGAACATAAGCAACACACTTCGGGTGTCATTGTCTCCTATTACCCCCAGATGGGACCGTCTCGTTGCAGAGAAACGAGCTCAGGGCTCCCATTGATTTAGCGTTATGGGGAGTTAAAGTTTTCAACACAGTGGATTCACGTTTATTATTATATTAACAATATAAACAATCTACGTAACCCCCCCGGGCCGCGGTAAGATTGTCAAGCGTTGACCGGTCCGCAATGATAAAAAGGTTGGGGACCACTGGTATAGAGAACAACTTCATATGTTGGTCTGACAAAGCTGGTTCATGTCCTACACAGCAGACCCATCACATCTCTGTCAGGATTCACATTCTCCAGTTAAGCTTTCATTTCCACAATTTCCTCTTAGGGATTAATAAAGTATTCTATGGATCAACTCTAGTCAACGATGTCAAGAAAGTACAGACTTCAAACCAGGCTACAGTCCAATATAAAAACCTGTGTCATTCTCACCTCCTCTTTCTTCTTGGGGTCTGACAGCGAGTTTCTGAACAGCGGTGAGTCTCCATACGGTGAATACGCCAGGACGCTAAGCTGCTGCTGAAGCATGGCCTGCTGAGCGGCCGTCGCGTTTGGATCAGTGAGCGCTGGAAGACAAGAGGTAACAAATCAGAACTTACTTCACTATCACCATCTGTGCGAGAGAGGTCAAATTTGACAGGAGAATAATTCAAGTGTGCCCTGGTTGAGTTTAGCTCAGCTCAGAGTGGCAAATAAGAACACAGGAAGGAGAAGGAACAGTTTTCACTCTCTCGTTACTTAAGCAATAAGATCAATACATCGTGAACCTAAATCAGAGCTCTGCAGCTGCTACAGCTGTTCCCCATTTCAGATTTAGTTGCCGAGTCAGTCCAGCTACTCACCGACGGGCTGCTGCGGAGCTCCGAAACCCAGCGTGCTGGTTCCACTGTTGAACCCGGTCGTTCCAAACGTTCCCATCGTCCCCAGCGTGGGGCCCAGTTTGTTTTGGTTACTCCCAAACAAAGACGTCTGCCCTGGGCCCACTGGTGAACACACACAACTCTGGATTAATACCCTTAAAAGTGCAGTCACCCCCCAGCAGCATTTGTTTCAGACATGACCTCTGAGTTTTCCTGTTCTTCTCTGCAGCAGCTGTTGTTGTTTGGAACCTTTACTGCTTATTGACAGGTGGCCTCATCCATTATCATTACTAGTCATAAATTCATAGTAAACTACTACTGAGAAATAATAATTTAACTAGATGGACAGAAAGTTCATTGTAATTTTGATCATAAATTGAAAAATACAAAATATAGTGCTGATTCAAGCACCTGAAATGTGAGGAAGTGCTGCTCTTCTGTTTTCAATGTAAATTGAGGACCAACGGGCTTTTAAAGACAAAATAAGCAACCTGACATCTCAGTGGATTCTGGGGAACAGTGAGATATTTTTCACCATCTTCTGACCATTTATCATTGATAAATAAATAACTGTGGGTGCCCCGGAGGAAACTGCTTTGAAAAGCCAGTAAACTTTCTAACTAGGCTGGATGACGAAACCATCAGCACTGTTTCTATAACATCTGCGTCATCAGGGTAAGAAAGAAGCTGCAGGTCCAGATGCTGGAACCAGGGCCTCTGAGGATTACTGTCATAATCCATTATTCTATCATTTATGTTCTCAATTAACTCATTAAACCATCTATGTAATAAAATAGCGAACTACAGTGCCTTGCAAAAGTATTCACACCCCTTGAATTTTTCCACATTTTGTCACATTACAACCACAAACTTAATTGTATTTTATTGGGATTATATGTGATAGATGCATAATTATTGCATAATTGTGAAGTGGAAGGAAAATGATATGTGGTGTTCAAGATTTTTTACAAATACAAATCTGAAAAGTGTGGTTTGCATTATGTACTCAGCCCCCTTTACTCTCATATCCCTAAATAAAATCCAGTGCAACCAACTGCCTTCAGAAGTCACCTAATAAGTAAATAGAGTCCACCTGTGTGTACATCAATTGCAGTATAAACACAGCTGTTCTGTGAAGGCCTCAGAGGTTTGTTAGAGAACATTTGTGAACAAACAGCATCATGAAGACTAAGGAACACACTAGACAGATCACCACTGGTTGTAGAGAAGTTTAAAGCAGGGTTAGGTTATAAAAACATATCCCAGGCTTTGAACATCTCATGGAGCACTCTTCAATACATCATCCAAAACTGAAAGCATATGGCATAACGGCAAACCTACCAAGACATAGCCGTCCACCTAAACTGACGAGGCGGACAAGGAGAAAATTAATCAGAGAAGCAACCAAGAGGCCCATGGTAACTCTGGAGGAGCTGCAGAGATCCACAGCTCAGGTGGGACAATCTGTCCACAGGACAACTATTAATCGTGTACTCCACAAATCTGGCTTTTATGGAAGAGTGGCTAGAAGAAAGCCATTGCTGAAAGAAAGTCCCATTCGCAGCCATGTAGGGCACACAGCAAACATGTGGAAGAAGGTGCTCTGGTCAGATGAGACCAAAATTGAACTTTTTGGTCTACATGCAAAACGCTATGTGTGGCGAAAACCTAACACTGCACATCAACCTGAACACACCATCCCCACCGTGAAACATGGTGGTGGCAGCATCATGCTGTGGGGATGCTTTTCTTCAGCAGGGACAGGGAAGCTAGTCAGAGTTGATGGGAAGATGGATGAAGCTAAATACAGGGCAATCCTGGAAGAAAACCTGTTAGAAGCTGCAAAAGACTTGGGACTGGGGCGGAGGTTCACCTTCCAGCAGGACAATGGCCCTAAACATACAGCTAGAGCTACAATGGAATGGTTTAGATCAAAGCATAGTCATGTGTTAGAATGGCCCAGTCAAAGTCCAGACCTAAATCCTATTGAGAATCTGTGGCAAGACTTGAAAATTGCTGTTCACTGATGCTCTCCATCCAATCTGACTGAACTGGAGCTACTCTGCAAAGAAGAATGGGCAAAAATTGCAGTCTCTAGATGTGCAAAGCTGGTAGAACATACCCCAAAAGACTTGCAGCTGTAATTGCAGTGAAAGGTGCTTCAACCAAGTATTGACTCAAGGGGGCTGAATACATATGCAAACCACACTTTTCAGATTTTTATTTGCAAAAAATCTTGAACACCACGTATCATTTTCTTTCCACTTCACAATTATGCGATACTTTGTGTTGGTCTATCACATAAAATCCCAATAAAATACATTTAAGTTTGGGGTTGTAATGTGACAAAATGTGGAAAAATTCAAGGGGTATGAATACTTTTGCAAGGCACTGTGTGCCAACACATCCTCCTCCACCTCCAACTGCTTCTTTTGAAAAACAGTCCAAAACCCCAGGATGGGCACAAGTTTACAAGTTACTTAAAAATAAGACAATTATTTTCACAATTACCAAAAAAAAAAAAAAAAAGTTTTCTGTTGAAATTATAAATGTATTTCAACATTTACATTTCATTTGTCTTATATTAACATCGTGGTTTGAGGCATGTGTGCTGACCTGTCTGCTTGTCATTCATTACTTCCTCCATTACCTGTTCCAAAGCTGGCTCCCAGTCCGGTTCCCAGACCTCCAGTGGTCGCCTTGCTCCCAAAGAGACTTGCACCAGGAGCGTTTGCACCAAAACCTGCACCAAACAAAAACATTGATTACCAAAAGAATTTCTGAGGCATTAGAACTTTTCCAGTTGTTGGCTTCGCACTGGTTTATGAAAAAAACAAAACAAAACAAAAAAAACAAAACTGTTGAACATAAACATGTTTCACTGATCAATACTTCGATCAGTTCCACTCTGAACACAGTTTTGTTTATTATCCTTTCAGAGTTTCTTTTAATTTGTGGCAGACAAATGCATTAAGAGCGAATGTTACAAATACAGGCAGAAACAACATGTTTCTCCTCAGGATGAAAAGTGGCACAACAAGCTGCCTCTGAGGGCATGCCAGGCTTACCAAAGGTGGAGGTGTTGGCTCCAGGTCCCAGCGTCAGGGCAGGCTTGCTGCCGAACAGCCCAGTGCCGGTGCCAAAGGATGGGGCGCTGGTGGTGGTGGTGCCAAACCCAGTCGTCTTGTTACCAAACAAACTCGGCTGTTTGAATGTGACATACACACAGAGATCAAACCCATTCACACTTTGGGTAACATGGACTGAGGTTCTTCCATCAGTAGCACCACACGTGTAGTTTCAACACAAATGAAATAATATCAGCAGATGCAGATATAAAGAATATAATGACAGCAGTTCTTATTTGTTTCTGTCCAGATTTATTACTGAAGGCGACTCTGAACTTGTTAAAGGAGAGAAGCTCACGTTACTGATGCTCAGTAAAAAATATGGAACATTTCTTGGTATTTTCACATTAAAATCTTGGATTTATTTTATACCTGTGTGCCAACATTTCCAAAGCCGGTGCTGGGGTGTCCGAACAGACCGGTGCCCGTCCCGAAGCCTGTGGCGGTGCTGGTCTGAGCAGTGCCAAACAACCCGCCTGTCTGAGATGCTGATGTGTTCCCAAACAAACCCTGAAGCACAGGACAGAACAGGCGTGAACAACCGTCCTCACTCAGACTTTAAAAGTAGCTCACTTCATTTCAGAAGCATTTGTTAGGCATCTTGAAATCCGCCTTTCATCCCAATGACAATGAAAACATTCAGTGAACTGAACTCATTTGAAATATTTTCCAAAGCCTCATAGAAACCTAGAAAAAAAAAAAGCTGTTTGAGATGTTTTGTCACATCTGGATGGTGATGGGGGCACAGTGAGAGTCACTTTTTTTTATTTCTCCAGTGCCTTTAACACCATCCAGCCTCCACTATTGGGAGAGAAGCTGCAGCAGATGGGTGTGGGTGGGTCACTGACTACCTAACAGACCGGCCGCAGTTTGTACGGTTGGGTCCAGTTCTGT